AGAAGAGGAAAAAAATGGAAACAAGGTCTTTGCAAATAGGGAAGGGTGGAGGGGGTGAAGGGAGGGCAAGGGAAGGGGAAAAAAAATAAGAACAAAGATACTCATGTAATGGTACAAGATCCCAATGATGAATGCAACTGTATTGTATACCTAAAATGTACCAATAAAGTTAATGGGGAAAAAAAAAAGAATTTTGTTGTAACAGATTCAAACGTTCTTCAATACTTACCTACACTGAGCAGTGCTTCTATGAACTCCTCTGTCACAACAGGTAGAGGAAGACGAAATATATCATAAAGCACTTCAAGCAGACCTCGCTGCAACAGCAAATAAATAGTTTATTTCTTTTATAGAATAAATCTTTAAAGACTTTTTAAATGTTCTATTCACCGACTAGAGAAATGGGCAGAATGGAATCTTGGAAAATTACTATAAAAGCTTATACCAGAGAAGGGATAATTACTGAATGATTATTACCTACATCATATAATCTTTTCCAAAAACTTTCATTATCCCACTGTGTAAATGAAAAAAATAGATCTAATGTTCTTTCACAACTGAAACATAAGAAGTCCAGTGACAGTGCAGGGGTCTGGGTCAGTGGTAGAGCACTGCATAGCACATGCTGGCCCTGGATTTCATCCCAAATAACTCCCCCTCCCCCAAAAAAGCAGTCAACTAAATTACCCCAAGCCTTCTCAGAGATCTTTCCATTTATATCCATATCCTTTCATTTTCATGATCTAAATGCATTTTATTTCACATGTTAAGCAAGGCACATCTGGCTGATATTATCTAATTTTTTGATGCCAGGTTTGGTTCATATAAAGAAGAAACAAGAAAGAGGTAAAAAAGAAGGATTAAAATAAAAAGGAGAACATTATGTAAGAGGAAAGAATCATTTGAGTTAATTCTATTTTTCTTTCTATTCATTTTGTTTTTACCTGGTTAATTAAAAACACCCTACTCACCAATAATTTAGGAATACATTAATACATCAACATATAAACTGAATTTTAATCAAAAACACTATCCTCAAAATAGAAACTCATTAATATAGAAAAAAAATACAAATTAGAAGGCACAGATGCATACATACATTTACTTTTTGCTAGATGCATTTCTGTAGTGTTTGGACCTTTACCTTGAAAATGCCTTTTTGTTTTGCTTGTGTTGTTTTAATGAATAAAGTGGAATTGACATTTTCAACTTGATTTTTTAATATAATCATCATTCCTAACAGCAATATTTCAAGTGATTCATATGCTATTTAAGGGTTACCTAAGTATTAAATATTAAATATATTTTTTAAGTGATCTATGACAAAAATTACCAACTAATGAGGAAGCAAAACCTAAAGTTTTTTTTTTAACAATTTATCTCTTCTGTTAAAAGTCCAGGAATGAAACAAGTCACAAAACTTTTACCTACCCTTATTTCCATATTTGGTATGCAAAGTACTCCAATTAGCGATTGGATCCCAGAGTTTCCAGGTTTACACAAATTAATAATACCTACGAAGGGTAAAAAGAAAAAAAAGTCAGGGACTTAAAGGACAAAAAAATTTTCCTGTAGTAATGTATCATAAAATCTGGCATTACTGCAAGCTAAATTATACAATTTGCTTATCACAACTGATACCATATAAGTGAAGTGCCTTTCAAACATTATCTGTATTTCTCTACTGATTCGAGATTGCCAATAATTTCATCATTTAAATTCTTTGTTCAATTTGTTTCACATGCAGAATATGGGAAAGAATAAGATAATAGTCCATCTCTCCTGCTTAATGCTCCTAAGTCTAAAGTAAAAAACTATGTGCACTCACTTTTTAAAAGTTTAATTCTAAAATTTATTCAATGTACAGAAGAGTGTAAACAGCAGACTTCAAATAAATTATATAAATCACAAATTTAAATTACAGAATTGTGTTACACAACTTTGGACATATTAAACTTGGGTCACAAAAGAAGATATATAAATACCCAATAAAAATATACAAAATGCTCAATATCATTAGTTATCAAGGAAATGCAAATTACATTAATAAAATATCACTGGACATCTACTAAAATGGCTAAAATTAAAGACTGACAACACCAAGTGCTGATGAGGAGCCAAAACAACTGAGATTCACATACACTGATGATGGCGCATTATTTTCATATTTAATAGTTAATGTACATGCTGAAGTATTCAGGAGTAAAGGTGACTTAGACTTGCAATTTTTTTGAGATACAGTATATTAGAATAATTTAGATAGACTAATGAAACTAGAGGAATGGATTGACAGACATGTCCAAATAAACACCACAAAATCCAGGTGGTAGGAGATATGGGTGATTACTGTACATTATTTTCAAGTTCCAAATTTTTTTTTCTTTTGGTTTTTTGAAACAGGGTCTCACTATGTAGTTCAGGCTGGCCTTGAACTATGTACCCAGGCTAGCCTTGAACTCACAGTGATCCTCCTGCCTCAGCCTCCTGAGTCCTCAGGATTACAGGAGTGTGCCACCACACCCAGCTATCAAATTTTTTTAATTGCTACAAAAAACATTTTTTAAAAAATCATATAAATTTATGTTTATACATGCCTTATACACATAGCCTGTTAATTTTACACAGTACTTTTTCTGTACCTGTGTCATCACTGTGACTCATCACCTGAGGTCAGGTGTGGACTTTTCTGTGGTGTCATGTCAGCATTCAACAATTTTTAGGTTTGGGGCCACTTTGAATTTTATATTACAGATGCCCAAACTATGTATATGTATTTAAGAATAATCTCTCCTTTTTTGGATCAAGCATCAAACTTCAAATTAAAATGTAACAAGCAGATTTACTTAAATTATCAAAATAATATTCTGCAAACTTTGATGAGAAATTTGATGGCTGAGGAATCTGAGAAATTAAAGATACAGTGTGTATAGCTCTTATTCTGGTATCAGGGAAAACAGACTGTTCTCATGGAGAAATTGTGCTCTACAATGTCAGTTATCCATCAGTTATTTGGAACTTGAAATACATTAATTCACAGAATAAATTCACTAATTCACCAAAGTTTATTTAATAAATAGTACAATGGATTCTAAACACTTTGGGAAAATATCTGTTATAAAATGTGTTCAGTGTTCTAACTTGTCATACTGATTATTTCTCTTCTTACTTCATAGGAGGGTAGAAGATTCTTAATGTTCTAAGTGTCTCATGATGAATCAGTATACAAGAACTCCAGGAGAAACTGAAGCACTGTACAAAGAATGTATAAAAGCAGTAAGGAGCCAGTTATGATGGCAAATGCCTGTACTCAGCATCCTGGGATCCGGAGGCAGGAGGATCCAAAGGCTGAGCCCAGTCTGGGCAACTTAATGACTCAGTCATACCCTATCTGAAATAAAGAAAAACCAAAAAAGGCTGTACATGTATGGAGTGCAAAGGCCCTGGAATCAACCGTTGATAACAGGGCCAAGAAAAAAAGCAGTAAGTAAAGAGACTGGCAGGGATCAGAGACAGGCAAGTAAAGTCTAGACACAAGAAAAATGAGGAGACAAGTTGACTGGTGGTTAAAGCAAGACAGAATTAAATTTTGAAGACAGAAACCACATTAATGGCAAGGAAACTGAGAGATGATAAAAGATGATGATTTAACTATAGAAAACCAAAGTTATAATGAGTTTTGGAGTAAGGGCAGGTAAGTTTAACAGGATGACTGAGTTGGTTTACATGTTAAAAGAGTATGTGAAGGCTGGTGAAGTATTATCACAGTTTGAATGGGTCCCCTAAAGTTCATGTGTCTCTGCCAAATTCATATACTGACAGAAATTGTAAACAGGGTCTTTGGGAGATAAATAAGATTAAACAAGGTCATGATTGATGCTGGAGCCCCAATGATTGCTTTATAAGGAAAGGAAAAGAGACTTGAGCTAAGGTGCTTACTCTTTGTTTTACCACATAATGCCGATGCCATACTTTTGGACTCCTCAGCCTCCAAAACTGTGAGATAAATAAACGTCTATTTTTTGTAAATTTCCCAATGTTTGGTATTTTGTTATAACAACAGAAAATGGAATAAAACAAGTATTTAAAAATTTGTCTAATAGGTGTTCCCAGAATATGTGGTTATCCATGAGGATAGTGGAAGTAATTATAAAATACAGCAAGCAGGGCTTTTCACTGAGACGATAAGAAGACAAAGAAGTCTCTGGGAAAATACCAGCTAGTGGCAAGTCTATGGCTGAGATAAACATTCGTACAGATTTTGTATTTAGGGGCTATCTAGGTACATAGAAATGCTTAAGTAAATTACCTTGTTCTGTTTACTACTAAATTCTTTTCTATGCTATCCTTTTCATTATTTCATGAAACAAGAAGTAGATAATCATTGAGTAAAAGGTAATCATATTATCTTATAAAAATAAATTTTTGGGCCAGGGATCTAGCTCAATGGTGCAACCACCTGCCTCACAAGCACAAGGTCATGAGTTTGATCCCTGGTACTAAATAAATAAATAAATAAATTTTTGACCTTTATTCCACAGAAAGAGAAAATGTGTATAATCCCTATTCTGAATAGGGACTACTAATGTCATGGCATTACTACCTTATTCTTAAGTAACAAACTTTAGCTACACATACAATTAACACACAAGTTTTGCTTCTATTTTTTATTTTGTATTTTGTTTTTGAGAGGGGAAGTATAGACCATGCTTCATTTTTCTTGAATGGCCATGGTAATCATTAGTACAGTGACTTATAAATAGTTAATAAGTATGTCTATACTGAATTCAGTCCCGGCTGTTTCCTATATACTATTACAAATTTTCTTTAGTACATTATTATAATTTTGTATAAATTCCTTTGGTTCTAAAAATAACACATAAAGAGCAGATTAATATTCAAATTAGATGCTTCAATAGTATACTTGAAAAACACTCAAGTTTTTCCTCTTGTATGTTATTAAGCAACATGGAGTAGCATACCTGCCCATGACCGGAATGTTGCTATGATTCCCATTTTGCTGGCTAGAAACCGTGCTTCTCTGTCTTCTCTGTTGGGAGTGGGAGGGTTATAAAAGACAAAAAAATTAGAATAAAGTGAGTTATTGCTGCTACTATATCAGAAATAGAGCTATAATTAATGTTTAAATATTTACACATGAAATAAAAATGTTAACAGAAATCAGATGTACTCCAAAGTCAATTACCCAAATATAAAATGGACCTCAATTTAAGATGTGAATGTGGGAAGTAATTTTAATCATGTGTAATTGGTCACAAGGCCTCATTTGCAGTAACTATTGGTGCTTTATTTAACAATGCCTTGTTGCTTTGTATGCATTAACATTTGGGTGTAAAGACTGTGTCTATCCAAGAGGGAGCCACAGTATTTAAATTGACCAACCTAATGTTACAACTACTTGGAGGTGACCAAATGTGAACTAAAAGCCTTAATTAAAGTGGTGCAATTTTGTATAACTTAAAAAAAAGATTCACAACAGTTTCAAATAAGTTATAAATTCTGCTTTTCTATTCAGTTCTGTGTTCCCTACTCTTTCTGAAAACTATTCTTAGATGAATTCTAATTAATCATCAGGGAAGAACAGTCTGCTTAATAAGTACCTGTGTTGCAAGGCTGCCCCTTAACAAAGAAAATTACCATCTGCATCCTCTTCAAAATCTTTTCCTCAAATGTATTTGAACATTTCCAATAAGCAAGTTCAATAAGGTAGAGGCAGTGAAATGTTACTAAATAGATACTATTAAAATTACCAGCTACTTTCTTCCTTGAAAATTATGTATCAAACTGTGTCACTTGTTCTTTCTGTAAAATATTATGACCATTAAGCAACAGAACTATTTATATTTGTTAAACATTCTCCATTGTTGATCAATTTCAATGCTTTATAGTAAAATCTGATAACTAATAATTTATAATCTTCTAACCACCAGATTTACCCTAATTAACTGTTAATTTTTTTCCCTCTGCCATAGTTTCTTTTCTTTCCCAAATTCTTAATAACATGTAGAAATTCAAGGAACAAGGGTCAGGGTGTGGGAAAGAGTAGACAAAAACCAAAGTAAGCTGTGTAGCATCAGTCAAAAAAAGAATGCAACAGAAACTATAATGGGGAGTATGATCAGGTACCTGTGTGACTAACTCTTCAGTGTTCCTTCTCTTAAAAATACTGATAACATACTTATATTGACTGCATGGTTAAACATCTCTAACCTATTATGATAAATAAGCAACATTTTTCCAATCACCTACTTCCTTGTTTATAATGTGCCTTTACTTGCCTTGCTCTATATTGGTTCATACTCTAGAAAAATAATGAAAGTAAACTAGAAAATCAAATAGGAAAGAAAGAATTTTGATGGACTGTCCTCTACCTCTCTAATAAATACCTAGGTTCACCTCTTGTTCATCGTGGTATGCTGAAAGGAGCCTTGCTCCAGGATTCCATGCCCTGATCTCCAGATGCTGTAAATACGAGCTATCATTGCCATGGCTGTAATTATGTTTAGGTTATATCACCTAGTAGAGCACAACATAGGGAAATTGTCTGGCAGGCTTGATCTAATTGGAAAGCTTTCTTCAGCTGGTAGCAGAAGAGAGCGTGGAGAGAATCAGAATGCTAGAAGGATTTCAGACACTGCTGCTGCCTGTCAAGATGAAGGGCCCATGAGTCAAGGAACAGGTGACAACAGTCACCAGGTGGTATCAAGGGAAGAGAGGCCTGAATTATTAAATGGAAAGGAACTGAATTGTGCCAGCAATCTGAATGAACTTGGAAATGGATTCTTCACCTGAGCCTTTGCTGAGCCAGACCTGACCTACCAAACTGAGATGCTGCAGTGAAACATGCTTATAGCAATTTGCTGCACAGCAATAGATAAATTCTATGTTCTCTACCAAAAAAGAAAACATCCAAATCTTACACAAAGTCAAAAAAGAGGCTTAAGAATTCTAATTCATAACTGAAGTTAGCAGGAATAAACCTGAAAAGCGCCTAGGGATTTTCCCCTGCCCAATACTAAGGATATAACCCAGGGAACTCTACCACTGAACTACATCCCCCAGCCCTTTTTATGTAAAGACAAGGTCTCATTAATTTGTGCAGTCTGGGCTTGAACTTGACATCCTCCTGCCTCTGCTTCCTGAGTAGTGGTGATTATAGCTATGTGCCACCTCATCCAGTAAGAAGTCTTAAACATTTGTTTTGATTTCTTAACTTAGGTCACGATATGTTAGAGTGTGACAATGAATGCACAGGGTTGGATGTGAAAATAGCAAAAGCATTATTTTTAATTCAGAAAAACAATGAAAAACAACAATCCCAGTGCTCTGAGGGACAAGGCAGGAGGATCACAAATTTGAGCCCAGTCTGGGTAACTTAGCAGGATCCTTCCTCAAAATATAAAAAACTAAATAAATAAAGGGATGGGGATGTACCTCAATGTAAAGGCCATGGATTTAATTCCTAGTACCACCAAAAACAAAACAAAACAAATTTTACATATTATATCATTCTGCTGACACAATGTGTTAAGGCAACTCTTCAATCTACTACCTGTGATTACTTCATTCTTCAATCTCTCAATGAAATTATGCTAAAAATAAATACAAAGGAAAACAAAGACCTAAGTCTCTACTAAAGTATATTACACATATTGAAATATATTCAATACATACATTGAAATAAGAAATTAATCTTACAATTTCTCAAAGCTTTTTCTAAAATTTTTAAACTATAGTTAATTGTGAGAAAAATTTAATTCCATACAATAGAAAATTTAACTAAACTTACAATTTCTCCAGTTCTATACACACTGAGTGCTAGGATTACAGGCATGTCCCCACCACTCAGTTATATGTAAAGTACTGAGAACAGGGATAATAGGAAAATAGATGGGGATATAGTAAAGATTATTTTTTCTAGAAATGCTTCAAGATTAACACATATAACACCTCATAAATTATTAGGAATCGATAACACTTACTTGAGCTGCCCTTCGGCTGTATCTGGACTGTGTCTGTAGTGAAAATCAGTATAAGGTGCTAAAATTCGCTAATTTAAAAAAATGTAAAAAGAATAAGTTTTTATTATTAAAAAGCTTTTTAAAAGCATAAATTCTATTTTTAAACTTTTAAATTGGGTATAACATATTG